TTTCAGCGAGTTCAACTTGGATCTGCTCCATCTGTCTCAGCAAATTGTTTCTAGCAGAGTACCGATGAGTAGTCGTGTTGAACTATGGATAAGAAAAGCATAATCAAGATAAGAATATCGTCCTGAGATAATCGGTCATGTATGTAATGTGCATGAATGAATGATTATGCATGAAATGTTGGTCATTTCCAAGGTGTCCCAAGAATTTTGTCAACCCCCAGGAATATCAAACCATCAATAATAAGAGAGATAATCAGAGATCAACAAAAGATATAACAATGAAAATTGATTTAATAATTAAAATGATCCTCTGGATCAGAAGAGAGTTCGTACAATAATGCATAATAAAAATATAAATGATCCCATCCAACAAGACTGGTGGTGATCAAATGCCATTAAAAGAGAAAAACAACAATCAATTAGGTGGATCTCTGATATCTATGTAGTACAACGGTCCCCCTTGTCGGAAGTACCCTTCACTCCATTCTTTAGTTTATGTGAATAATTTCCTTATCTTTTCACGATCTCATCCACGTGCGAAGCTACCGATCACCACATCTTTCCGAAATAGTTGTTCCTCCAAATACACACACTACTCCAAGAAGCGATCACATTCTTTACACTCTGGCAAAGGTATAAGTACGGGTGCATCTTCCATCTCCCTTATTTTGTCTCGGAGTCTGGCATTTTCTTTCATTACTTCGGTCATATGGTCTTCCTTTGCTACCAATTCTAACTTAACATTTTTGAGCTGCTTCCCCAACTCTTTGACTTTTGCTTTGTTTTTGTTGTTGGCTATTTGAAACTTTACGGTTTCTTGATGGTCCTTTTCTTCATTGGCAAGAGAAATCTGATACTCCTCTATAGATACAAAGTGGTCTTCCACCCCAGGTATTCTTTTGGTCTTCCTACCTCCAGAACTACTTTCACCTTCATATTCTTGTAGCTGACGGGCTAACTCTTTCTTTTTTGCTTCCAAGAAGTACATCTCCATATTTTTGTATTCAAGATCGACACGAAGGTTTTTGTTTTCCTTTTCTATTTGGTAGAAAATCTCCTTCGGTACATCATCCAGCCTCTTGGTAGGTTATGGATACAATGGTTCTTCCTTTGAAAAAGGCAACATGAGAGTTCTTTCTCTTTCTTCAACCCAGTCTATATACGGCCCAAAAGCTACCAACTCTTTTTTTCCAAAGAAATCCTTCCCTTTTCTGTGAATTTTGGCCCAAGCAACCTCTACTTTCCGTTGCATTTCAGGATCCTCGCCCTTCTTACAGTACACGGATTCTCTTATCTCACTTTCTTTGGGTGGATTCCTCATGGCATAACCTAATTGGCGTAATGCGAGAATAGGGTTATAGTTAATCATTCCCCGTATCCTCATAAGTGGGACATTAGAGAAACCTCTGCAACTTGTAATTACTTCAGTACTATCAACCTTGAGTCTATACCATGTAATATCAAAGGAAGTAAGAGACATTATCTTGGATGCCCATGAACGAGTACTACTATTATCTACGAACGGTCCCTTGGTAGGAAACTGGGACATGAACCATTTGTAGAGCATAAGAACACAACAGGTCACAACCCCTCCTTTATTATGTCTTGAGTGAATTGCATAATAAGTGTTGGCCAATAGGGTCGGAATAGGGTTTGAGTTCATAAAAACACACATGGCCGCGAGATCCACGGTCTTCTCAACATTAGGAAAGAGTACAACACCATAAATTAACATTTCTAGTAATGCGTTGAACACATCCCAACATTCTTTTTTTTGCCATATATTTAGCTTTACTTATCAGAAATACCACATAAAGACCTGAAACTGTGCTCTTATCCCTCCAATCACTTTTTACTTCATCCGGGCTCAAATAAAGAGCTTTGGAAATAACTTCATAATCGGGTACTTCCAGGACACTAGAAAAAGGAATATGATTTTTGATCTTGATATTAAGTAAATAAGAGTATTCCTCAAGCGTAGGAGCGAGTTGGTAATCCTGGAACATGAAGCAGTGCAATTTTGGATCAGAAAAATGCAACAGAGTTTGGAGAGCTCTATTATCAACTTTGGCATCTAATAAAGCTAGGAGATTCCCATATCTTTTGCTGAAAACTGGAGAGTTTGGATATACTACTTGTTCACTCAACTTCTTCGGTAAAGGTCATTCGCTTGCGCCAAATTTATAGCCAATAACATCCCTAGTTTCTCTTTTGTTGGTATCAGTGTTGTCCGTCATTCTTGGAGGAGAAGAAAATTCTAGAAAACCCTGGAAATGACAATGCATATGCAAGTTAAACGTTTTTGTATTATAATCTTTGAAAGTAAATATGCTATGATGCAATCATGATAGGAATAAGGTCTCCACCAGACTGGACACCACTGCTCTGTTGCATGATAAAAAAAATGGAATAGTCACCACCAAAAGTTACCATCGAAACCAAAGTTTCTATCAAAACCTGAGTCACCATCAGTACCTGTAAGAATTAACCCTCCCCACTCACAAGTATAGTCTAGGTCAAGGGTAACTCAAAATCATGGGTCCACTTGGAAGCATTATCATCATTCCACAGATGTGAAGGACAATAGCACCCTATTTGTACCTCATCTGAGCGTAAACGACATGGTCGCATAGTAGGACCTTCGTCCAATAGCAGTCATGTTCCACTATATTCCTAGGTTTCCTAGATAGTGCACTTTGGCCTGGATACTGGGCCTTTTACCTCAAAAAGCATCATCTCATCCCCACAAAAAAAAAACACAACAGCAACATTCAGATTATAGGAGACAACAAAATGCAATGCATGAAAGCACACTAATAAAGCACATAAATAAAGAAAGATGGAGAGCTAAAAACACCCAAAGAAAAGAAAACAAGAGCTAGGATCGACTCCTGGATAGACCAACATTTAGTCGACATTTCCCCAGTGAAGTCGCGAGTTGGAACATCGACTGGAAATCATCAAATAATGAAGTCGCCATCGAACGTATTTTATCCCACATGAAGGGAAAGGTAAACATCGAGAAAACCTGAAGAGGGAGAAATCACGGTCTTGCGACCGAGAGATCGGGTAAGGGAGTCGGTTACGCGAGAGGAAGGTATTAGCACCCCCACACACCTGTAGTACTCTACGGTATTCACTCTTGTTGTCTATCTTATGGGTGTGTAAAATCTATGTCTAAGGCTTAAAGTTGAAAAGGGAATGCATGCAAAGAAAAAGGAAAAGAAAGTGTGGGGGAAAAGAAAGGAATATTTAGAAAGATATGCTCGATTAGGCCCCACAAAAACCTCCGCCTACGTATCCCTTTTAAGGAATCAGAGCAGCCGTAGTTCGGCTCATATATTTTGGTTGGTTTATGTTTTTTAGTTAAAAAGACAAAAGCAATAGTCAAGATGACAAAACATCAAATAAAATGACAAAACATCAACGACGATGATAAAACAACAAAAGGAAACGACAATACATCACATGGCAACATAAACTCAGATAAGATGATAAAACGTCAACATGATAACAAAAGATCAGACAAGATGATAAAACATTACACCTAACAATGATATTGAAAATTAAAGTAGGATAATAAACATGTGCGATGGCGAAACATCGGCAACAAACATATGTGATAGCGAAACATCGATTAAAAGATAGCAAGATAACATGGCAAAGATGACGAAACATCAATAATTCGGATGATAAAACATCACACCTAACAATGATATTGAGAATCAAAGTAGGATAACAAACATATGCGATGACGAAACATCGACAACAAACATATGCAATGGCGAAACATCGGCAAAAAGATAGCAAGATAACATGGCAAAGATGGCGAAGCATCAATAATTTGGATGATAAAACATCACACCTAACAATGATATTGAGAATCAAAGTAGTATAACAAACATATGCAATGATGAAACATCGAAAACAAACATATGCGATGATGAAACATCGACAAGGTTTAAAATAAAGCCAAAAGGCGCACAAAAAATTAAGATTGGTTTGTATTTTTTACCTTGAAGAAGGATTTAATTATTGTTAGGTATTTTGGAGTTTAATAAAGAAAAGGTTTTTGTTTTAATGCACATGCAAAAGGGGAAGAAATTTTTTAAGGGAAACTATCCTATTTTCTACGCCTAATGTTATCATACAATAGTGGTCCTATGTCAAAGATTAACGAAGAGGGAAATTTCTACCTAATATTAGTATGCATGGTTTGTAATCCTAATATATATATATATATCTCGAACACTAACCTAAAAGAGTCGAGAAAAATCCTAAATGAACATGGTAGCAGAAAGCAAGTAAACAAACAAGTGCTTCAGCAAAAACACGCAAACAATGTAATGCAAAATCATATGCAGGGGTGAAAGGGAGATGCCATAGCCAATGGGAGCGGATCACCCGAGTACAAGCACTCTCAACTGTGGGACAAGATAGCTATACCAAGCATGAAGTACCAGGCAAGCAGAAGATATGCATAAAGTGATGTTCAAATCGCCTAAGCATCTGGCCGAGATATAGAGGATCAAGGTAAACGATATAAGATAGTATGAACAACCATGGAGTATCAGCATTCGCCAGCGCAAACTCCGAACAAAATATGGGGGACTAGAATGTGAATCCCTTTTCCAATGACGGACTCGATACACACAATCTTGGTCACAACCGTAATAGTGTCGGCGTACAACGTGAGCTGCGGGAGACACGGACGAAAACTGGAGGGGGTCGATTGCAAACCCTTTCCGCTCGCCTTTCCTTTTAGAGGACTTAATAATGGTAGCCATAAAAAGGACCTACAACCATCCCACTGTTATACACGCACAAAATATAAACACATGTGCGGAATTGTCCATTAATCTCAGATGGGGCTTTAAACAAACCAAACACAAATAGCATACAGAAAGTCGTGCCTGCTACAGGTCTTTAAGTGATACTTCGAGCGCACGCTCTTTTTATTTCCTACTTCCTACTTCTCATGATCTCTAGAAAGCGGTGAAATGTCATATTTACAACATAATAGTCCGAATATATACCAATGGATAATACAAATCCGTATACAACAAGCTCTACAAAAAATATCCGAATCTTCACAAGCTCCAAAAGCTAGCATCAACAAGAGAAAGTGTCAGAAATATAGCACAACAAGTGCAAGCAAGCGTATCCATCTTTGGAGCGGTCAATGTCCGAACTCACTTTTCAAGGCATGCACAACTCACCAAAATTGTTAGCAAATAATAACACAATTGAAATACAAATTGTAAGTAAGCAACAATGATTACAAGTAAGCATGATTATGTATAATACAAAATGAGCAAGTTGCTTGAACATAGTATGGCATTTTCGGACAGCATTGTATTAGTATCAGAAAGAGTACCAAAATTAGCATGGAAGTGAAAGAAATGAGATCAGATACAAGTATGAACATGAATGGTCAAATGGTAAAAAGTGAACCATGTTTAGACGCTAATAGTAATACTCCAGACAGTCATGCCATACTCAGTAATTAAACTCAAAAAGCTGTAAAAACGCATATGTACAAGTTAACGGTATTAACAAAACACGGTATTTCCATAAAGCAGTAATCTCTTGAATGTAAACATTCAATGTACAAGCTACAAGTTAGTTGGTATGCTACAAGTTAGTATATTTACAAACTAGGAGAGAATGGTATCACAAACTGAAATTAGTGCAAAACGGTATTTTTCAAGTAACGGTGTAATATGTACATAAACCGAAAAGCGCATCTGAAACAAACGGTAACCTCTTGAAAATTCTCAGGAATGAATTGTAAAAATTAATGGAACTTATATTCATGCAAACGGTCACAAAAATGCAATCGATTCGGCCAAATTTCAACCAGAAACATAATTTTCGCAACAGTACAGCTTCAGAGAAATCGAGTAAAAAAATGTCCAAATCGAAAAACTGTACACGCAAAGAGTTTCGGATAGCTCAAAAGACATGGTTTTCATTAACGAGAGTTGAAAAAACTCAAAGCGGATCAAAAGTTATGGCAAAATACCGTTTATGTCAAGTTTTGGACATTTTCCAAGAGAAGAGCCAATTTCCATTAAACTCAAACTAATCTTTATCAAATGTGTTTCATTATAATGCTTTGAGTTTATTAGAAACCAATGCAACTCATGAAAATTTCCAAATGCAAGAAGTCATACAACAAAGTAGCAAAACAAACATTATGTGCGAAGTGAGAAAAAGTGTTAGTATCTAGAGTAAATGTTAGCATTCACATGAAGAACTTGTTTGAAAGAGAAGCAAACTTTTATGTCAAAATGGATATTTCGGACAGCAATACCATTCTTATGTTATCAAGCTCAAAGAGCGGTAAAAATACACATAAACAAGTTACCGGTATCAAGAACAGTAAAACTATAAACACCGAAACAATTTAAACAAAATTAGAATACCTTTACGCATATAACTCACTATTCTGGACAGCAACTCATACTTATGAAAATGCCCGACAAGTTGGCATAAATCGACACACAAAAATGTGCCACAAGTCAAATATGATGCATAAAAAACAATGCACAAAAACTTGAGTTTATAAGTCAAAAACTAAATGAAAAGTGCTCGAAAATAACAGTAAAAATTAAAGTGACATAGAAACGTGCCAATGATTCCAAAAACCAATTCGGTTCAGCCAAATTTCGATCCAAAGTGTAAAATCCGAAACAGCACAGTAGCGTGAAAATGGATCAAAACTTGTCCGAATTGAAAAAGTAATTACGTGAGGAGCTCCGGATGGCTCAAGAGACATGGTTTTTATTAATGAAAGTCGGAAAAACTCAAAGCGGATTGAAAGTTAAGGCAAAAATGAGTTTATGTCAAAAAATGTCATATTTTCCAAATGTTGAGATGTTTTCCACTAAACTCAATCAAACTTGTTTCAACTGAGTTTTACAATGGTATTAGAATTTATTAGAACTCATCTCAACACCTAGCAATGACAATCAACAAGTATTCACAAATATTTGACAAAAAAGTGAGTTTTATGTCAAAAGTGAGAAAATATTGGTAACTTAAAAATGCTATGTACAAGATGCATCATAATGCAAGAAAGCCTCATGAGATTATCAACCAAAAACACAGCAACAAAAGGCAATTACTTTGACATCAAGACCTTTAAGAAAACTCAAAATATAAAGTTCCAAATTCATGAGTTTATGTCATTTCATTTATGTAAACTTGCAAACTTAACACAAACTCATGAATCAAGTCCACTAAATGCAAATTCTCTATAACATTTCTATGTCAAGCATTGGATACAATCAAAGAGTTATCATTAAACTACACCAAATGTTAGCGTACGTTAGTTTCTATACAACTACATTCTTGAAAATTTACTTAGAACTAGTTTAAGTTAGTTCCAAATGTGAATAAAATTCAAGGTTCAAGAAACTAAACTACATCTAGGTTGAGAATCAAAACTAAATCCTAAATGTTAGTTTAGGCAAAATCAAATAATATTCACATCTAGAAACTTCAACAAAGTTAGTTTATACTAACATTATTTGGTAAACCAAAAATCAACCTAAACTCCTAGCCTAATATTGGATTCAAGCTAAATCTAGTCGAATTCTATATTCCAATTAACAATTACATCAATTATTGATTAATATTCAACAAGACAATTTGAAATTTGCAAGGGAAGGGGATATAGAACCTTACCTCAAGAATTGGAGAATTTGCAGAATTGAAGAGGTTGGAGGGAGCATGAAGTAGTGCGCGGCCGGAGGGAGTATTGTCGGAGGAGGGAGTCGTGCCGAGAGGAGGGGAATCTGGCGGAGGGAGATGTGCCGAGATGAGGGGAATCTGGCGGAGGGAGATGTACGGCCGGGAGGGGCTGCTTGCCGGAGGAAGGAGGCCGGAGAGGGAGGTCGATCGTCGGAGGGAGGAGGTCGGTCGGAGCTCCGGTGATGGTTGATGGTGGTTCGGTTGTTGGTGAGGTAGAGAGAGTAGAGAGGTTTATGAGTTTTTTGGTAGAATGAAGAATGTTTTTAATTTTTAGGGGAGAAAAGATTTATATAGTATTTGAATTTTGAACAAAACATTCAACTTATTTGCCGCTTAACTGCAAATTAAACAATGATCTGTGAAAATTTAAGACGCAGTGCCGCTTGAGAAAATATTTGGCTCTGAGTCACAGACGCAACTCAAAAAGAACGGACTATTTCTAATGAAATTAAATAACATCTGACACGTTTCAATGACGAGACGTCATGACCAAAAAATATAAAAGTCAAAATTTCAACTTATTTGACATCTGCTACTCGGAAACGTCACAAGGTTGTGACCAAGAAATCTTAACCTCGATTCGGCTTTTCCAGTAAAAATATGTGTCTCGGAGTTCCCGACATCGTGTCAAAAAATGAGAGTCATGTGATAAACGGTTGATTTTCCATGAATTTTATAGTACAATGACGTTCAGTCTATTTTACTGGTACAAACAACTCCATTTTGCGAAATAAACCAACAACGGAGGTCTTCGGGCTACCGTTCGTCTTAACAATATGAAACGGAATTGAAGCAGACAAAATTAGAAAGTCAACACTTCGAGAACATGCATGATTCGGTAAAAATTGACCGAGTTATGAATTTTTGAATATTGGAAACCAAACAGACAGGTACCAAATAATTCCTCAATAATTCACAATTTATGCAGCCTTCCTCAAATCATCAGCTCTCGCCCCTGGACGTCCATCAAGAGGATATCAAGATGGAATTTTGGACACCTAAACGACGCTCATACAGTACTCGATCCAGGATATATGAATTTTTTTAATGTGTGCAAAACACGGTTCAACCAACTATTTATCAGTATTTTCCACTTTTCAGCTTTGTCTGATTTGCGAATTCGGAGACCTTCCTTCAAGAATTATCTTTAGGCCTGAACATGGAAGTTAGAGAGGATATCGAGGCAGATTTAACGGTGGAAAAAAATTACCTTGAGACGGTATACGAGATCGGAGTTAGAAATTTCTGAACGCCCGAAACACCGTTGATCGGTAACCTGAAAACTCAGTAATAAAATTATTTGACCACCTTTTACACATAATTGGCTCCCGGCCTGAACACGAAAAGTGAAGATAATATCAACACGAACTTGATGATCAAATTTCAGCCCAAAATAGCACTCTGGTTCGTAGTTAGAAAATTATGAAGTTGACGCACCGAAACAGATTTTTAACCCGAACTGCTCTGAATCAGATCAAAATCTTTGGTTCACTTATATTGCCCAAGACATGAGAAAATACACGGGAATAGAACATGGTGATAACATGTTCCTCAGCTGATTGAATTGCCTGCACAAAGTCTTTGACGCTTCTGATAAATAGTCGATGCTTTACTGGCATACCTTAATCCTATAGCAACAGAACCAATATATGTATGCATATGCAGATGAAATATAAGCTAGAAAAATTCTGAAATCAAGAGGATAAATTTTGGGGTGGAACATCTATCTCCTAAGTCAAGCTTCTGCTATTTGGTCCTCCCCAAACTACCTTCACCAAGGCAATCTCTTTACCACGCAACTGTTTCACTTCTCGATCCTCTATTTGTACGGGTGATGCCTCAACAATCATATTCTCTTTCACGTGTACATCATCCACTTGAATCACATGGGACGGATCCAGAATGTATCTTCTCAAATGAGATACATTAAAGACATTATAAATATTAGCAAGTGGCGATGACAAAGTAATCTGATAGGCCACATCTCATATCCACTGCAAGATTTAACATGGACCAACAAAACATGGTGTGAGCTTTTGACACTTCAAAGCTTGACCAACACCGACTACCAGAGTAACTCACAAAAACACATGATCCCCTCTTGGAACTTAAGTGTTTTCCTCTTGTTATCATGGTAACTCTTTGACGACTCTGCAAAGCTTTCATCTTCTCTTGGATCATCTTGATCTTCTCAGTAGTCTATTGAATAATTTTTGGTCCAAGGACATTACTTTCACCATAATCGTACCAACACAGAGAAGTCCTACACCTCCTTCCATACATTGCCTCAAACAATTTCATTCCATTACTAAAATGGAAACTATTATTGTAGGTGAACTCAATCAACGACAAGTAGCTATCCCAAGCACCCCCCCCCCTATTTTAGCACACAAGCCCTTAGCAAATCCTCCAGAGACTGGATAGTCCTCTTTGTTTGACCGTCCATCTGCAGATGATAAGTAGAACTTAAATTTAGCATAGTAACCAACAGTTTATGCAAACTCTCCCATAACCTCAATGTGAATCTCAGATCTCTATCAGAGATGATACTCAAAGGAATACCATGTAAACTGATAATCTTCTCAATATACAACTCAGTTAACTTCTGTAAAGGATCACTGATCTTAATCAGAATGAAATGAGCGGATTTAATCATATTGAAGGGTGAGAAAAACACAAGAAATGGGGGTTTGAATTGGATTTTCTAACAAGCTTCTTATTTTAAAAATATTTCACAAACTATCTTAGAAAGAATAATACTAAGGAAAGAATAAAATGACTATTTTAGTTTGTACAAGTTTTTCTTCAACAAGACTACTCTTGTCCATCAGTCGAGGTGATTTTACCTTCAACAAGGACTTAATCCACTAGTCTCAACATATTAAAAATGCACGGGATACCCGCCGGTGACTAACATCAACCGTCTAAGAGCTCAACACACACCTTAGCCCTTTCAAGTCTGCAGACTAATAACCTAGTCACTTGAGACAACAATTAATTCTCAATACAATTACAATCAATTGTGTTTATAATGTTTGCTTCTAAAAAGTAGATTAACACAACAATGAAGTACAAAGTCTCTAATACAAATAATGAGCAACAACTCTTTGTATTGAGAACTCTAAGATAAACACAAATAATGAGCAACAACTCTTTATGTTTAATCCCTAATATCTTAATACAATAATGAGAAATAACTCTTGTGTTCTTGATATTTCTCTAGAAGAATATTTACGGATTACTATTTGTATATTGATTCTTCTTTTTCTCTTTAATGTATTTCAGTATTTCAACAATTTGATTCAAGCTTAATGATGTAGAGTAATTCGTCGTGCTTTAAATGTTGATGAGATCTCTTTATATAGACTTTGAGAAATTAAACCGTTGGTAGTACAAATACGTCGTTTTCACTTGCCAGCTACAGTAACTATATTATTTCATCGTGGTAAATAACATAGTACAATATGTAAGTATGTAGTGGAATTTGAGGCGTATTGACTGTACTATATTCTTTGTGGCTAAGTTTCTTAGGACCTTATCTTCTGATGATTTACTTCTGGATTTAAGTAATAAGCTTGGAGGATATTTATTTCTGATTGTTCTCCCTTTTCTTTTTGCTGAATTGATTCTATTATGATGATGAAGAACGATCTAAACTATGTTTCATTCTTGTAGAGTCCGAGTCTTTCAGAAAGTTGAATATTGTCTTCAGATATATAAGCAACAACTTATCTGATGAACAATGTCTTGTCTTTAAGAGAAAGCTTTTTGGAACTATACGTCTTAATTTGATCCTTGATCTCTTGATAATCACCTTTTTTGAGTTGCATATATTATGTATGATTTCTAGAGTATAAGCTTATATCAGTACATCTGATTTTGACGTTGAAATCTTTCTTTTTGATCTCTTAAATTTTGGTCTTTGAATTGAGCTGGAAGCAACAACTTATGTAAGCTACATCTTGTTTTCTGATCATGAATCTCTCTGAAAGCGTATTTAGTTTCTGATCTGAGAGTGACGCT